ATTAATCTGGAAAGTTATATTTTAGAGGGAAAAGAACAGTAAAGAGGGGGATGAATCCACCAATTTACATGAAAATTCATGTGATACCATCAATTTGTATTTAGTCATCTACATTAACAACAAGCTTAATGTTTGATAGGGAACAATCCAGCAGTCTTTCTGTCCTTTGTAGGGGCCTGAGAAACATTTATTAATATCTGTGGAAATAAATCTACTGATAAGGCATAATCTGATTAACAGTCCAGCTATTCTCCTGTACTTTATTAAAAAAGCCAAAGATCCATCTTTTGGTTTTGTTTTGGTTTGGTTTTTTTTTTTTTTGGTTTTTTTGTTTTGTTTGTTTATTGGGTTTTTTTTTTGTTTGTTTTGATTTGGTTTTTTGTTGTTGTTGCTGCTTTATTATTTTTATCTCTTGCGAGAAGTGGTTTGCAGGGCGCTGTCTTTAAATAGCATCCACGCCCCCGCGCACAAACACTCCTCTGTTTGGCTCCCTTGGTTTCTCCCCAACAGGCTTCCTCCTGCCACGGCACTTCTGCATTTTGAACTAAAACCCTCTTGGGAGGGAGGGAGGCTGCAGGGTTTTGTTGATAATTTCTTTCTGCAAGAACATCCGAGGTGAGCACAGGGTGGAATGGCTCGCTGAAAATATGCCCAGCCACATCTGCCACCCAAAGACTTGTGGCTCAAGGAGGGAAGCTATTCTATATTCAAAACACTTCCGTCAGTGGTAACGTGCTAAAAATCACCAATATGTGGATATGCTTAAGGATGATCTTATTTTAAGTTAGAAAAAATCACATGCAAAGCCCGGAAGACATTCAAAGTATTCAAAGTATCTTCAAACCCATAGGTTCATGAATAAATATTCTCATAAGTGTTTCTTTATGAAAATCTTTTATTACTTCTGCACATTCTAGTTCTCCTGATAACCAGGTTGAAGTTTCAGTCTCTGCATTGGAAAGAACTAGCAGAGACTTGTAAAAAAACAATCTTATATTTCTTTTTGACTCGTCACCACGGGTTACGTTCTTCAAATATAGTCAGTAAAATATTTATTTGTAATAATAATCTTGGTCTAAGTATTAGATCTTGGCTGTGAAACAAGGATGAGGGTCTTAGTGCCTTCCCTTCCTGTGCCTGGCTACAAAACAGCAAGGACAAGCTGAAGAACTTTGCAAGAGGAAGGGGATGTCAAGACAAAGCTTTCACTGAAAGTGCCCCAGCATCCTGGGGGTGGTACCCGCTGCTCCCAGCTGCCTCAGTGATCACATCTGGGATTTAAACACAGTAGACTGTGTTTTGTTTGTGATGCTGGGTAAAGGGAAATCGTTAATTGATAATGACAAGCTTAGAGTGTTCCATCAGGTGACCTTGGGATTGTTTAGGGTAAATGATTCTGTCTTATTTCAAGGTGTATGTGGCCTGTCAGTCGATGCTTATTGTGCTTGTGGGAGCTGTGCCCAAGTATCATATAGACCAAGCAGTAATTCCAGCGAGCAGAGCTGAGCTTGCCAGGCACATCCATTTTGTGGACAACTTCACATCTATCGTGACTGAGGCAAGTACTTCCGTCGTGACTGAACGTTTCTGCTCTTGGGATTTGTGCCACTGGTGCAGGATGTGGGGCTTGGGGTAATGTTTTGTTTATGCTACTAAAATTAGTGGAACCCACCCATGTGCCTCTCTTATTTTATTACTATTTTTAAGTCTGAAAGTATATGACTAAATTATTGGTTTTGCTTTCCTAGCGTAAGTCTAATACTTATTAATTTAGGGTAAACTTCCTTTCTATTATTTATTTTGGCTTCAGCTTTCTTTACCTTCAGATGTTTTACTAAGTCATTACTAATGAAGAATGATCATTTAACTACAGTTTATAATTGGGAATTTAGGATGAGCTCCTCCTAATAATTTGATTTCTACCAAGAAAAGGTTCAATTTGTCGAGTGTGCACAATCTGCGTGCAAGCTTTACCACCAGCTGTATCTGTTTCTCACAGAAGATAAAGACTAAAACTAGTATGAAAACGAAACTCATGCACCACATGTCTGGGTATTTTTAGTGTGTGGTGAGAGCGGGAGATGGAACAGATTGGAGTTTGCCGAGTGGGACAGAAGCTTGACCCTTCGTCCTCACGCCTTGTGGATTCCATGCAAAAGGCTGCGTTTGCTTTCTGCTGGTCCCTGGGCTACAATCACTCAGGCGAGCACCGGTGACCTAAGCCTTGCTGCTGGTGCCAGAAAAAGGACTATGTGGGTGGTTTGGCTTGTGGTGTGAGCTGTCAGAGCTCTGCTGATGGAGTTCTTGGAGCAGTTGTCAGTAAACTCGTATAAGACAGGTCAGCGCCTGGTGCAGCTGGTGCCAAATTTTTGCTTCCTTCCCATTATCCCAAATGTTTAATGTTTATCTTGGAAAAATGTAGTGACTAGACATAAGAAAGAATGATGTAATATTGGATCATATCCTTTGTCAGAAACAGATTTTCTTGATTGGAGTGTTTTCCGAGATCACTCTTCGGTTTGAGACTCTCAGCAGGATGTGTGATATGGGGTAGTGCTTAACTTATAATAATAAATCAGCAAATTTTAACTAATACTGTGTTTTTAAATTTAGAAGTTAGTGTCCCTGTTTCAAAAATATGTAGTAATTCTTGAGACTTACTGAAACAAATTTATGTTCCCCTTCATTTCAGTGACTTGATGGTAAGAATTCTTAAATTACATTGTTAATAGTCTTTCATGGAATCTGTAGATGCTGGCCAACATCTCGCCATATGCTAGTGGTCTAGTAACTAAATCAAGCTGCCATGTGAATTTAAAGAGCTGAGAGGATGTCTGTTTTGGTGATAGCAAAATTGGCAACGTTTTTGTTGGCAAGCTACAGTTAATTTTGACAAATGTTTAACAAGTTCCTTTTGTGCAAATAAAGTAGACACATTCTTTTGAGTTATAATCTTCACAGATTATTATAGCAGGCTTATTAAAATATGAGCAACTTTGTGACACGCTAAGCAGCACAATTAATAGTTTGCAATCTTTTCTTTTGCTCTATCTCAAGAGAGGAAACTGGGTTTGTAAAGTTTATTTCCTTTATTTTGGTGTAAGTAACTGTAAGTATTTTCATTTCTGTTCCGGTTTGGCAGGGGTACTGTTCTGCTCTGGAGCACAATGAAACTTCAGAGCAGCTCTTCAGTTTTTTTCAAGAACTAATCATGGCAATTAATTTTGGTTTAACTAAGACTTGGTAAATAATAGCTCAGGCTTGGTTCATGGAAAATACAGTTGGTAGAATTGCTTGTTGATCTGGCATCAACTCGATCCCCGGCTTTAACAAGTGATGATGCTTAGGAAGGTGATTTCAGGAATGTCTTAATTGGTTATAGAAATGGTCCTTTACCTAAGTAGGTTTTTAGAACCATATTCAGAAGCATAAAGTTATTTTATCTCTGAAACACTCCGCAGCCAAGGACTGGGAGTTTGACATTTGCATGCTGTGGAGAGCTAGCACGGAGGACTTGGGCCAGCAGTGCTCTGTGCCTTGGAGAGCACATGCTGTGTTATTTTTATACTTGAAATTTCCTGAGGATTCATGCCCAGGAATATTTCATTGTTGAAGTCTCCTCAGAAAGTTAAGAAGCCGTAAGTTTCGGGGCCACATCTTTATCCAATGTGATAGGGTAGAATTTACTACCCAGCAGGGTATAGCAGAAACCAGCTGCAAACGCTGCTGCACAGGAATTTTACCTTCCCAGAGTATCCAAAAGTCCCTTAAAACTCTGAAGTGCAAGAACACTGGGTACATTAGACTAAAGAAGGTCTCCTGTGAAGGTGTTAAATCTTGTCCTGCTCCTGTGACAGGCTGCTGGGTGAGTGGAGCTGGTGGGTAACTGGGTGGATGGAGCCATGTTTTCTCAGTACTTGGCCACTTACATGAGCTCTGAGTGAAAGCACATGTTTCTAGAGATTGCTACAATTAAAAGTTTCAGTAAATTCCTAATATTCTTTGGGGACCTGTATTAATTCGAGGCAGACACTTCAGGGCTGAGGTCCTAGTATGCTGTATTGGATTTTGGTCATGGGCCTCTTCCCTTAAGCTTTTTTTTATTTAAACCTACTTATTTTTTAAAAAAAGCAAATGGGATTAGGATTCTTCTTAATTTACCCAAAGGACATAATGCAAAAGTCAGCATGACACTCATCCACTTTTGTGAAAGTAAATTTTCTAGTAAATACTGAGAAGTATTTGAAATACTCAAGTAATGATTAAAAGATTTTTTAGGGGTAAAGCTTTCATTCAATTAGTTAATTTTTTTTCTTCCTGGAAAATCACTTAGGATTTTCTGATTGCTATTCTTTCCCAGGTTGATGATGTCAGCAATGTCTGTGTAATCTCAACAATCTCAAATATGAGTGTTGATTCTCTGTTTGTAGCAGGGGGGCTGCACAAGCTCTCTGTGCCTTGCCCTGTCAGGAAGTACTATGAGTTTCGTTCCCATTTCAACCCACTCTCAGTTCATCTTCTCTTCTGACAATTTTTGGTGATGCTGCCTCAGTTTAGCTTTTGGATGAGGTAGACAGTGCATTTCTAAAGAAAACTAATAGTTTGTTTCTAATTCTTGTTTGAGTATAAATGTATGTGCACCATAAGATACTAAAACATCAATGAGTAGTCAATAAGTAGTTCTTAGAGTTTTTATAAAACAAGGACATCTTTCCATAATCACTTCCTGCTTATCTTCTAGGGGGAGAGAAAGTAGAGAGAGATATGAATCTGTTAGGGAGGAAAAGGTATGACTATTGTTGGCTTACCTATCTAACTTTGAACAAAATTTTGATTTGATATAAAGCAGAAAGTGGGAAATGGCAAGAGAAGACCTTTCATAAATTTTGATTATTATTTTTGTGGAAGCTAGCAAGTTGGTGTTACTACTTCTAACAATAAAGAGATGCTTTTTTTTTAACAGTGGTACCTAATTGAACAAGAAGCCTACAAAGTAAACCTTGCATCATCCCTGTTTTTTGCTGGATTGCTTATTGGAAATATCACATTTGGACCTTTGTCAGATAAACTGGGCAGGAAACCGGTGTATATTTCAGGTAAGATTTTTTAAAAAGGTTTTTCTTAAGCATTCTGTGTGGATAACATCATCTCTTTTCTGCCTGTGGGCCACCCTACTTGGAGGCTGCCCATGGGTCACCTGCTCCATCAATGATATGGACTCAATGATCTGTATAAGCTTATGCTCGGAGTAGAGCAGCACTAAAATTGGTTAGTGTGTGTGGGCTGAGCAGCATTAACAGCCACTGGAATATCCGTGGGAGATGAAAAAAAAACCCTGGTTTTGCTATGACTATTACTGTTGGAGCGCAGTATTCCACACGTTGCCAACCATATTGTTCCCAATAAAAATGATTTGCCTTTTTTGGAGGGGGTGGGGGAGGATGGCTTACCCTAAACATCTTTCAACCACTAAACAAGAGTGGGTTACTTGTGTCCTGGTGTTTTCCAGCTGTGTTTGCAGCCAAAGGGTCTTTTTGTTTAGTGATAACATTGTCTCAAGGCAACATCATCTTTGGCACTGCAGACCTTAAGTGTGGCTTGGAAATGATTGCAACTTTCATATGCTGTGATTTCAGAAAGCCAAATGGGAGAGATTAGAGACAAGTACTATATAGTACTCCTTACAGTCAGTAACTGACTGTGGTCTTTGCCTTTATTCTGAGTTCAAGCTGCGTCCTGTAAGTGCTAATTACATTTTATTCTCTCTTTACAGGTCTATTTTTTGATGTTGTTTTTGGGTATGTCACAGCATTGGCTCCGAATTATGACATATTTGCAGTTTCACGTTTTTTTGTTGGAATTGTGAACGGTGGAATGGCTCTTGTGTCTTTTGTCCTAACACAAGAATATGTAGGAAAATCATTTTGGTCATTTACAGGTGGGATTTGGGAATTTTAAATCATTATTACTGTGCTACATGTCGTTTTGACTATCAGTACCTTGCATTTTAAGTTTGTACCAAGTAAAGTCAGCTTGTAGCATGTGTGATGTGATTCATCCAAATTCTGACTGCTGTGGGAAAGGTGCTTGAATAAGGAAGATGTGATAAATAGTAAAACCATGTTTTTAAAATGGGTACACTGATTCCTAAAATTTCTCTGCTTGTACACTGCATTACGTGAAAAAAAAATACATGTTTTGGCAGATCCTGTCAATTTATGAATGATGTTGTATGGTATCTTGGGAAGGTATTCTTGAAAGCGTTCTCTGAAGCTTCCTTGGACCACAAAATGACTTCATGCCTGGAGACTGTTTTTTCCACTGCTGGATGTGCTGACCATCCAGTATTTTTAAATGTTCTTTTTTCGTATGCCTCTGCCAAGACTGAAAATAAGTTTAAGGCTTGTTGTAAAGCTGGAGCAGCTCAGACTGTAACGCCTTTTTGGCCAGTGCAACGTTGGGGAAAACTTGGTCCAAACGCTGACTTTCCATGGATGTGAGCACATTTCTCTCTCTCGTTTCTGCAGTTACCTCATTCTGCTATTTTTCTTATTTCTTCTCTGGACTCCTGGGGATGTATGAGATAGCTGTGGTTAATTTTTTTTGTTTTAAGTACTGAATTTTCTTCTTCTTCTGGGTTCACTTTTTTGACTCACGCCTTCTCTCTCTCCCGTCCCTCCTTCCCCCTCTCCCTGTTGTCTCTCTCTGCTTTTTCCAGCCGTTCTCCCTGCAGGGCCAGCCTCCTGATGGACCGAAGAGACAGTTTCCTGCCGCTTGTCGCTCTCGTGCTTTACTCTAGTTCTGCTCAGCTGTTGAGAAAGAGGTGCTGAACAACTGGCCAGGGGCTGAAGGAGAGGGAGCTGCTGGATGCAGCCCAGCAGTGTTAAAGAAGCTCTCCTCCTAAGTGTTGGCTGTGAGCTGGGCTTTGCGGGTGGTAGCTGAGGCTTTCTGGGTTAGTACAAGATCTCCTGTGCTAGTCTGCAGAGGGTTTTTTGGAGTTCAAGTTGACCCCTTACTTTTAACGTTTTTATTTATGCTTGTTCAGAAGTGTGCTGTAATAAACCTGTGGCTTGCAGCTGTTTTTGTACTGAACTCAGTCCTCCTACTTTTATAACTTCCATTTTCTGTTCCAGCCTGCCACCTCTGTTCAAGATTGCCTTAATAGACTGAAATAAATCACTCACTCTTAGTGCTTCCCCTTCCTGTCCTCAGGTTTTCTCTTTAGTCTATAGGTTCCCGTTAATTTCTTACGCTTTCCTATGTACCACCCTTTATTTTTGAAAGAGGAAATAAACCCCAGCTCCTCCATATGTTAAACTAAGCTATTCTTCATTGGGTTTGTGTAATAAACTGAAGCCAGTTCAAAACTGCTCTAAAGATACCTCATAAAATTGCTTTTTTATTTAGATATATCATGGGCTGGGAATTTCAGGCTTCTGCTTAAGAACTTTATTTTTTTTTGCCAATGGTTTCTGTGGTCATGGTCTTGATCTTGTATTTTCAGGTTCATTAACTAATTTGACGTTTGCAGTTGGCATTGCAGTTTATGCTTTATTGGGTTACTATGTAAGAGAATGGCGCAACCTCGCCTTGATATCAAATACTCCAGGAGTCTTCTTCCTCCTTCTTTCTTTGTAAGTGCTTCGTGTGTGTTATAATGATAAGAAAAAATATACAGCAACTTAACAGTTACTTTTTTTTTATTATCCTCCAAGAAAGTGGTATAAACAAAGATGACACTTTTCTGTATGGCTTTGTGAACCAAGCAAGAGAAAAATCATACTGTGAGAGGAAGAAGCAGTTTTAAATGAAGCCGAAGGTCAGGGTTACCCAGAAGAGAAGGCTGTGTTTCTGGATGCTGTTGCAGTTGTGGCCGGCGCTGCGCAGAGCAGCTGTGTGCCAGCTGTCTGATAAAACTGGATTGCAAATCTGCTTGGGGAAGGGAAGGTCTGCCAGAGGCTGGGAGTGGAGCATCAGCCAGGAACACTGCCTTCTGCCAAGGAAAGGGCTTCAGCGCTTGAGAACTTTTGGAAGTGATCCTAGAAGGATTTTTAAAGTTTATTTTCATGAGACACATGCATGCAAAGGGAAATAAGTGAGAGCACTTGGAATAGCCTTTTTAGTGTGATACCCTATATATCTGCTTGCTTTTGAGATCCCTTGTGTCTGTTCCTGGCACTGTTGTGCTTGGGGGCTCCTATTAAGAACTCCTGCATGGACATTATCATAAAAGAGATTATGAAATGCATCAGCATTAAAGGAATTAGAAGTGCTAGCTTTGTCTGCCTGTGTTGTTATAACATATTCTTTTAACAAATGAAGTACTACACTTTGTATACTTCTGATCACTAGTTGAAGTTGCAGAAGAAATCAAAGAATTGGCGTAGTAGGGTTCCTATGCATTAGTACAGGGAATGTCTAGAATACGGCATAGATAGAAAAGCTTTTTATTTAAATTTCTTCTTTTTTCAATTATTTTTCAGATAGATCTGCTCTTGAAATAACTTATGTTTAAGAATAACCCAGCCCTGTCCCCCTCTTCCTGTAGTCAAGGAAGACAAAGCCCCAGGGCTGAGAAAATAAGTTCCGCATAGTATGTTTTCCTCTATAGTGTGCTGTTTCTGATGGAAATGTAATTCCCCCAAATGCTAAAAATACTGTGATCCTCTGAAGTAATGAAAGTTTTTAGTTTGGTTGTAGGATGTATATCTCTGTTGGGAGTACCAGAGAAAGTAAAGGTTCAGTTTAAAAGATTCTGTTCTTTGTTTTATGGCTTGTATAAAAGCAGCAGCACACTCTGTTACCTGAAAAAAACAGGGATTGTGAACTGAAATTGTAGTACGCAAGGTTATTCTGATTATACTTGGGAAGAAGAGTTTTAAAACTTACGTGGGTGGGGATCAGCTAGTACTGGATCCTGGTAATTAATTTCCTGGTAACACTTTTCTCTCTGCTCCAGAGCTTCCTATAATGGAGAAGCTTGAAATGAACTTTGTGAAAACAAAGTTTTATTCAGGCTGTTCAGATAATTGGGATTTGAGGTGCTTGTGGGGCAATGTTAGTTTAGTGTTTCCTAAGAAATCAATTCAGCAGAAGTCAAGATTTATATTTTAAACATGACTGAGTGCTTTGTCAAGCATCTCCAACAATCTTTGTGAGGTTAACTGTATTATTGTCTATATCTATGAATATATCATGAATCTGTGATTCCATGTCTGTATCATGAATCTATGATTCTATGATTGTTAAAGTATGAGGAATTTAACATGCAGAATACTGCAAACAGAATATCCTTCTCTGAATTTTATACTGGTACTTTTTTTTTTAAAGTATTGATCTGCGAAATGGTAAGACTGACAAATTCATTCCTATGAACACAGCACTACAGTCATCGTTGGTTTTCTGTTCTTTCCTGTTAGTATGCTCCCAGAATCACCACGATGGCTGTATTCCCAAGGGAAAATGGCAGAAGCTGAAGATGTGTTGCAATATATTGCCCTTGGTAATGGAAAAGAGAGATTAAATATAAAATTAAAACCAAGTGCAGGAACTTTGAGAAGGGACGAATCGGCACCTGGTATCTTAAACTTAGTAAAACATCCAGTGCTTCGGTGGCGAACCGTCATCCTGATGTACATCTGGTATGTAATAACAAGATGCTGAGATGTTGTGTATTGGTCTAACATGAGGAAGCAATTAAGATTTTCATCCTTTTCCTTTAAAAATTCTGTCCTCAAACTAAATGGTAAATTTTTCAGTTGATGGCAGGCAATAATCATCTCAAATGATGTGTTGTGAAGTTGATGTTTCATTATTATTGCTGTTGCGTTTTGGTTTTGGTGTGTTACTTAGAAACCATTTCAAAACCTAAGAAATACTCTGGTGACAACATAACATTTACATTGAGTGTAATGAGAAGCTGAAGCAGAAATTACTGAGAGGATGTGTACTTGAATCAGGCTTAGGAAGAAAAGGGCCATGTGGATTAGACAACAGTAGAGATCTAGAAGAATAATAAGCGTTGAGAGCCCGAAAGCACATTACACAGGTTCAGCGGAGGAAAACCATGGGCAAGATAAAATAGAGATTGGGTAGATTTATATTAGGTGCTGTCTTGAAAAGTGATTCAACTTGGAAAAAAGAACCAACCCCACCCCGAAGTGCAGGAGGATGTAATATATTATATTGGCAATAAATGGCAGGGCAGAGGGAACCCCTGGGGTGGGGAGGGTGTTGGGTTGATTGTTAAGAGTGACTGTTGCAAATTGGCTTGAGCTAAACCGTGTTGGAGGAGCAGCTCTTTTCCAAAATGCCAAGAACAAGTTCTCTTGTTAAAGTTCAATGTCATTTGTTGTTCAATTATTGTCAGGATATAGATGAGAAAAATCAGTAGTTTGATGTGTGGGGTGAGCAGAGATGTGCAGGACGTGGGAGAAGTGGCAGAAACATCTTTGCTAAGCAGGACCTTTCCAGAATCATCTTAGACTCGAAGTTGCTGGTAGATAAATGTAAGCGTGATGATAAGAAATTACACAAAGGCATTCTTGCCTTGAGGTCCCAGCACTGTGTTTTCTGTCTCAAACCCTGCTAAGGTACAGCACATAGAGCTGTTGGAGTGGTGTCACGATGGTTGTCACCATAGCATTTGTGCTGTTGCTCAGGAGCCCCTGGTACCACTCTCAGCTGCAACTAGCAGAGGATGTGCTTCTCCCTCTATCAGGCAAACCCTTTCCCTTTCTGCATTGCTTGGACAGTAAGGGAACAACTAGGGAAGAGCCAAAATGTCTTTGTAATATCTGATGGCCTTTCCAACCCACTGTTGGTTTTTGCGCGGTGGGGATGTGGAGCCTTAGTCTTTCCAAGGACAGTGATCGTGCATTTATTGGGGAAACCCTTGCTAGGTTTGAGGAAGAAACTCTGTGTTAAGCAATGGATGTGCATATTATTTTCTTTCATAGGATTGCTTTACAGCAGTTAAGTTTTACATCAGCCTCTAGTTAAACTTATTAGACTTGCTAAATAACCTAGGAAAAACCCAAGCTAATAGAAAATTCTGAAAGTAATGCTGTTCATATATATATGAGCACTTGTCTTCTTTCAAGAAGTTACTTCAATTAAATAGGAACTATTCTCTTTGCATTGTTTTCCTTTTGGGGAGGAAATAAGAGTTGTCTTGCTAGCATGTAACTCATTATAGCTCATCCATAACTCAACATCATTTACCTTTTAAATACTTTCTTAGCCCTAAAGACTAGTTATGGTAATAATGTAACTTTTATGGTTATTTTTAGGTATGTCTGCAGCTTGGTGTACTATGGACTAACTTTAAATGCTGGTGAATTAAGAGGAAATCTGTATTTAAATGTGGCTCTTTCTGGTCTTGTCGAAGTTCCAGCGTTTCCTCTCTGCATGTTTTTCATTGAGAAGTCCTGGTAAGGAAAACTTATTTCTTAGTTTTCTGCATATATTTGTAGATAGTCTAGAAAAATGTTAACATTTTTCTCGGCAAGATACTTCACTACTTCTGTAAACATTGCACCATAACACCCTTTCAGTGACAGGGTCATTGCCTTGCTCAGTACAGAGAAGAAAAAAGCCTAAGTTCCTGTAACTGAAGTAGATGGGTTCTTCTCGAGGCTACAAATTCAATAACTTAAAAGTCAAAACTTGGGTAGACATGGGAAAGCTTTTGTGGGAGGACTTCAGTACACAGAACGAGTAAAATAATGCAAGATTTGAAGCTCTTACAATAGATCTATAACTGTTATTAATGCTGCTGCGTATTTCAGTTGACATTTTGAAGATGAATTAAATACTGAAGGACTTCGTTTCCACCTTTATCTGGGTGCTCTTTTCCTTCTAGGTCTGGAAGACGTAAAACTACAACATGTTTTCTGGTATTTGCAGGATTTGCTTGTATATTTACCATGTTTTTACCAACAAGTGCTGGTAAGTATGTACTGGTGCTAAAGCATGTGTTTGTTAATTTGGATAAAAGCTGACAAAACAACTTAATCAGTTTTTTGTGACTGAGTATATCAGGGCATAAAGCCCTAACCATTTATACCTCTTTTTCTCTTCATTCTGGGGCTGGTCAGGGAGCCGGGGTCTTGTCTATATTGCTTTTAATTTACTGCAGGCATGATTTGACCCTGTTAATTGACTAAGTTTGGCTGCAAGCCCTTGGCTCTTTGAAAGTCAGACCAAGCTATCACATTGTGTCTCGAATACTGACACTGCATTCATTTATCACTATTAAGCAGTTTACCTTAAAATGCTGGATTTAATAGCCCCAGAGTGCAGTGTAATGTTAGTGTGACTGGACCTTGACAGTGTGAGATGCCAAGCTTAATTTTACATCTGTTTTGGGGGCATGTAATATTTATAGAAGTGGGAACTGAGATTTTCCTGAATTAGAAACTTCATTCATCATTAAAAAACCCAAACCATTAGAAAGCTTTAAAAAAATAAATATTTTCTGCTTGAAAATTAGAAACAGGAGTCAGAATTGCAGTATGGAAGCCATAGGGATGGCAAGAAGCCTGCTGCCTTTCTCAATCTTGTTGCGCATTGCTGCACTATGCAGCTGTGAGCACAGTTCATGGCAACAGTGGAGTATCATCAAGTATATTTTTTATCTTAAAAGATGAATTTTTTTCTGACATAGTCGGTGATATTCACATATGTTAGGTCTTGTATTGACACTTTTCTTTCCCTTTCAAGTACAGCTTTTCTGTACTAATCTTTATTTTAGCTACCGAAAACTTAAGTGCTTATGACACTGACAATTACAAGTAGCTGCTCTGTGCTTGTATTTTTTTTAATATTGCTTCTGTAGAAATGCTTTAGCCCTAACAGTAGTTTGACTGAGGAGCACGAGCGATGTGATTACAAGGTAGCTTTCTATAGGTTGTGTTTGTCCTTAACAGCTATAAAGGCCGTCCAGCACCCAATTGATCTCAGCAAATCCTCAGGAAGAAAAACAGAGATAAAATATCTTGTAATCCTGTCTGCCGTGCCCGTGTTAACTCAAGTTCTCAGAGGTTTTGTTGCTCCTTTTATTGAGGCAGTTTCTTCCTTTGTTCCAACAAGTTTTCTCATTAGTACTGACTAATCAGGATAAGGTAATAATTCCTGAAGAGTTGCTAAGTTTTAGGAAGTCTTCTGCCTTCTGCCTCAAGTTGACTTGACTTCAACCCCATTAAAACATGTTAATTTCCACTGTGGTAAGAGTAAAGCTGGTTCTTGGCCCAGAGTGATCTGTGTCAATTAAATACAAAGAAATTCAGCTCCAAGTGTGATGAAGTTGAGTCACTTTGGATGAAATGAGGATTGTTGCATCTCTAGTGTGACCCTCCTGTCAGTAAGGAGAACACCTCTTACATTTGTCTAAGTGCATTCTTCCAAGTGATTGATTTTATTACAAGGGATTTAAGATTTTAATGAGATCTTGGGCACTTGCCTCTCATGTCTGCAACCTTCACTCGATTTCTAAATAACTCTGTTAACTTGTGAATGAGAATCTGATCCAAGTAATTTCCCCTGTGGAATAAGCCAAGAACATTTTTGTTATTAAATAAATGTCCTGAACTTGAGACTGAAGCCGTCTCAATGGTTAAGTAAAAACTGATATATCCCTCTGCATCCTTTTTCCTTATCGCTTAGAACTCAACAATTAATTTGTGTATCAGATCAGATGATGGTGAGGGAGAGTGGCAGCAGAGCAGGAATGGAGCTATAATATTATTTTCTTTCAAAAGCTGCTGTAAAGAACAAAGACATTTGCATTTTGTGTATGCTTTATACTACAGCAAGCAAAGGAGACTTTCAGTCTGGGAGTAACTCGATTTTAACTTGCATTTAGATTTATCTGTTTCTGTTGAACATATAGTAACGTTTTGTGACTTTAATGTGCTTTCCACTGAAGAAGGAAAGAAAATGTACAGTTCTTGAAATCAGTTGTGTCTCAGCTTTTGTTCATTTTGGGTATTTCCTTGTGTGTTGAGAACTACCCTTTCTTGGTGGATATTTTTTTTTCGGAAGTAAATTTTAAGACTCCTTCAGTTTCAGAAGTACTGCTTAAATGAACTTTTACTCATGAAGATGACAGCCAGAGGGTGAATCTACATAATGGCACTGCAAACGAGACTGCTGATGGCATTGATGGCATCAAAACTCAGTCACAGAGTGACTCATGTTCTAGAAGGTCTAAAACGTCAGCACCCTTTGTTACTGCTTTCCCCCATTTTACTTCTCTAAATTTCAAAGATGAATTAATGGAAGATTATCCCTTATCAACAAAACTCAAATGCAATAATTTAGTAAGATGTTTTTACCTTTTGAAACAGTTTTCCTGACTGTCTGGGTTCAGGCAGAAATTGCGTGCACAGTGTGCACTGCTACTGGACGTTGAGGTGAAAGGGTGTGAGACAAAATACACCAGAAGTGTTAAAGATGCCACGTGGACACGCTGGGCTGGGCCCAGTGAACGACCTCTAAATGGTCACCAGAATCCCGGTAGGACAGAGTGCATCCCTGCTTGATGGTGTTAAATTTTCAAGATGTAAAGAAAATAATGGACTGCTCTGCAAGAACTGCTACAAATGTATCAGCACTGTTTGTTACTGCTTTCCCCCATTTTCCAAAGATGAATTAATGGAAGATTATCCCTTATCAACAAAACTCAAATGCAATAATTTAGTAAGATGTTTTTACCTTTTGAAACAGTTTTCCTGACTGTCTGGGTTCAGGCAGAAATTGCGTGCACAGTGTGCACTGCTACTGGACGTTGAGGTGAAAGGGTGTGAGACAAAATACACCAGCTCTGGGTTCAGGCAGAATTGCGTGCACAGTGTGCATTGCTCTTGGATGTTCAGGTGAAAGGGTGTGAGACAAAATACACCAGAAGTGTTAAAGATGCCACGTGGACACGCTGGGCTGGGCCCAGCGAATGACCTCTAAATGGTCACCAGAATCCCGGTAGGACAGAGTGCATCCCTGCTTGATGGTGTTAAATTTTCAAGATGTAAAGAAAATAATGGACTGCTCTGCAAGAACTGCTACAAATGTGTTCCAAGCCTCAAAGGAAAATATAACGACTACGTCTGGGCTCGCGTACAGAAGGTACCTGATGTGCAGTGAATTTCCAGTGTGCTTCTAATCCTGCAGTGACTCCCTACGTGGCAGGCCTTCAGCCTCCCCTGAGGGGAGCATCTGGAGAAGACAGTGCACTTAAAATTCACTCCCGAGCTTCCAAGTGCTCGTTTCTCTGTCTAGACAGACTCTTCCTTCTCTTTTGACAGAAAGACCAAAACTTCCCAAGTGCACCAATGCTACATTTCTAATATGTGGATGTGCAGTGTTCAATTTAAGTCTCCCTGGGAGAGAAACAGCAAGTTTTGAAACAGATTTGAGAATTATAAATCTCTTCTTCATTGCTTCATGTTTGGTTGATGGGAGAAAAGGGATGTCCTAGCTTTCTGATGGCACCTGGCAGGTCTCTGAGGACCAGGTTCACACCTTTGCATCTGGCAACTGTATGTAATTTTCCAGCTCTTACTGCACAGAAAGAGAACTTGGATGAAAATGTTGCATCTGTTTTGCATGAACTACAGAAATAACTGTAAAACTGCATCACGCTTAAATCAAACTTCTGGATTTCAGTTTACATAGAAATGAATTTCTGCTTCAATCGAAATCGACTCTGATGCACCACGCTTAAATTAAATCAAATTTCTGGATTTCAGTTTACATACAATTGAATTTCTGCTTCAATCGAAATCGACTCTGACTTGGTCAGATGAATAGAACTGGAAATATTCAAGGTCAAAATTAAAAGAAAAGCAATTGAGAAGGAATTGGACTTTCCCAGTAGTTAATCGACAACGTTTGATCCAATCCAACACATGCTGAACTCAGTGCTGAGGAAGAGAACCTGAAATACAGCTGGTGGTAGCATTCATTCTCTTTTCATGCTTAAAAAAAAATACATAGAATCACCTAGGTTGAGTATTAAATACTCTTATTATTGCAATGGCTGGTGCGAAGGTAACCATAACCAAAATCAGGATAACAAAAGCCAGGTTTCTTTTGGATTTTCACAGATGCACACTTCAGTTGAGCTAACTAAACTCGGTCTGTTAGTAAACTGGGTTGCATTAGCATTTGTTCTTTCCAATTAGAAGGCTGTTGCATTTTAAATCCCAACAGGATGTCCTTGGGGAGCAAATGAACTGTTGAGGTGAATCAAGTTTTATGGTTTTAATCTAATAAATTAGTCCAGGAGGCGACGTTGGCTGTTTGTGCCTGTCATAAACGCAGTTATCTGGTAAGGTATTCTGACTGCAGAACTGGATGCATCAGCCCTTCCAATTAGAGCTGTGATAGTTTTATACTTCCTCAAATAAATGGGTGAGATTTTCTGGATCCTAAATACAATTTTATGTATTTGTTATTATGCTGGCTTTTAAAATGGTTGGGAAGAACCGATATACTGGTTTCTTGTGCTTGTAGCTGAATGGGTGAAACTGGTTTTGCGTGACAGTCTCTTAAAGAGGACTAGATGTTTTCAATATTGTGTAAAAAAAGAGGAAGAAAACAGATCGTGCTTACAGAGTGCTTTCTCTTTCCTGAAAGGTCTACTCCTCGGCCCCACTTTGTTAGCTTTGTGTGGAAAAATGATGGTCAGCGCTGCTTTCAACATCATGTATATTTATACATCTGAACTGTACCCAACAGTACTGAGGTAATTAACAGAGCTTCTGAGCAACCGAAAATACTTCTCATGCACAGGGTTACAGATTGCTGGGGTGCTTTAATATTTATCTGTAACTAATTTTACCTGAAATGTCAATATGAGTTGTTCTTGAAATTAAGGCAGCTTGCCAGGGCTTGAAAAGGCTTCACCTATTAGTGAAACGCTTTGCACCAATGCACTTTCCTGGGCTGTTTGTGACACCTTCCTCTAGGTCTGAATCCAGAATAAAAATATGAAACCCAGCTTCTTACACAGCAAGTGCTAGGTGCTCTATTTCTCGTTTCTACTATTGATTTTTGGGAGTAAAATTGCAGGGTGCAAAACCAAACATAATGACATAATGGAAGTGTATGCTAACTTAGTCATAAACATAGATTATGCAGTAAGGACTATTTACGGTCCTTCTGTATGCTTATATCTCCCATATGATTATGTTTGTTTGCCTGCTGAAAACAAGTGCTTTCCCATGTCTTTTTTATTTAATTAGATATTCATAATGCAACTGATTTTAATAGTTTCTGTATGACAGCAATTTGCTTTACCCCATTTAATTCATGACCAGGTGGGCTAAAACCTTAGTTTATGTCTCATAGTTCTTACCCAACTCTTTGTGAGGTTACTCTTTTCCTGTTGTCCCGAGATAAACCTGAGATAGGAGAATATAATACCACGCAGTCTTGTTGTTCTCACCCCCATCCTGGTTCCACGTGACATTGTGAATGGTGCTCCAAGTGCGTGTTCGGAGTCTGAGCCGTATTGCCCTCCCTGCTCAAGAACAGCAACTGCAAACATCGAGCCCTCTTCAGAGAGAGCAGGGAAGTTGGAAGCTGATGTGGAGTAGAAAGGTGTCCCGGCTGGTGGATGTGTCCTGTAGCAACATAGAGGTAGTTTGGATGGTGACATGAATTCCAGGACACTGAGGGCTTTGGGGGGAGGTAGTGGTGGAAATAAATCTGGGTGACTCCTTGGATTGGCTTTTTTGTTTTTTTGAGGGTCACAAATTACTATGTGCTACGGAGGCATAAAAGCTAGTCTGCAAATACTGTTTTGCAATAAAACTTGTGAGGATGGAGTGGGCTGACTATTCCTAGACACTGAGCTTGTGATTCTTGGCACAGGTTTAGGTTTAATATGCAAGTCCCAGGCACACTGACTGAAATGGGATGTGAGGGTTTCTTTACATCCCTGTGCAAACTGTTTTATTCTTTGAGATCTTTTTTGTTTTTTCAGTAGGTGAATTTTGACTTTCTCTTTCCTGTCCCCTCTGTTTTTCTAGAGTAGAGAATCAAGATAATTAAGTCTGAAAATGTTTCAATTTCTCAACTTTTGCTTCTTTCACTGTGTTTTCACATTACACTGTCTTCCTAAGTCCCACTGATATTTGGTGCCAAGTACGTGACAGCTCACACCGAGCAGAATTACAGTAGTGGGTCTGTGTGCTTGAATCTAGGTGTTTGTGATTAGGAAAACTTAAAAAATAAATTAATCAAGTGAAGTGCTGCTTCATTTGAGAATCTGCACTAATATTCTGGCCAAAAAAAGTAACTTTGTGTCAAAGATAAAAGCTGCCAGTGGAGAAAATGCAAGAATAAAGACAGTTTAAAAAATTAGCAACTTTATTAGACCACTCATGTTTAATAATATGGCAAACTGAAGTTAAACCACTTGAAAATTCCCCACACGTGAGGAATTTTCTTACATGTAAAAATGTGTTTTATCCCTCTGGTACTTGAATTGTAGCTACAGTTCATGCAAGAAAAGTAATTATGGGCCAGTGTTTAGTTTAGAGTGAAGCATCAGCACCATCTGGTGGTTTTTCCAAGGCTTTGTAGTGATCCTGGTGCTGTGATGAGCCATGAACCATTCCAAAGCAGTGGAGAGGAGGTGGAATAAACCTTTTTATTGATTTTTTTCATTCAGATGTTTTGCAGAAAAATTAAATGTTTTCAGTATTACTGCTCCTTATTTAAACCTACTTATTACTTTAAGCCCAAGGACTGTTAGGCATATCTTTTTTAATGTAACTGGTACATGGAGTAATGATATAGACACCTCATTCTAGACATGGGGTGCAGGCTGGAGCATGTATACATGCTTTGTGCTTTTTTCCTTTTTAGTGTGTGTTTGAAATACCTGTTAGGAAACAAAAAAGTTAAAGATAGAAAACATCGCTACTGTTACAGTTTGGACAAAAAGGAAGGTTGGCTTTGGGAACTTTGGGAACAAAATGTCATCATGGCTCTAGTAATATGGATGTAAAAACAAACTCCTGGGTTTTTCATGAGGAAATGGTTGCAAAATGATGACATCCTTGCATGTGATGGGTGGAATCAGACTAAGTGGCTACAGTGAAGCCCTGGGCTGATGTGATTACCCTACCTGTATAGCTATTTTGGCTGGCATTAGCTCGGTGCTGTGCTCGTGGGGTGGCAGGAGCACGTGCAGTCAGTCAGGTTTAGTAGGTCTTCTTGTGAGCGTGGTGAAACTGGGGCAGGAAGGTGAGACAGGGCGGGTGGTCAGCTATAGGCAACGCAGCATCTCAAGAATGCTTCCCGATAGTATTGGTATCAACTTGGGTGATAATACGTTTTTCCTCTTGGTCATCGTGACGTTGCTCTGCATAACCCAAAACCTGTTGAATTCTGAGTTCAAGATAGCCTAAAGTCTTTTAAAAACTGCTCTCATTTTGCATTGGAATTGAAATGACACAACTTGGGTTTAGGATCACCTTTTGCCCTACTCCCTCTCGGCAGAAAAACAAGCAGCCAGCAGTCCTCTGGATGGGGACAGGCTTAGGGTCTGTGGGAGGGATGCTCCTAAACGAGTGGTTCACACACAGACTGGTGTGTTTCATCTGTTCAGGGATTTTGTTGACAGGGGAGGTGCTTGTCCTTGTCTTGTGGGGTTTGGGTCGATGTTGCTTCAATGTGAGGAAGCGTGGGTTGCTATTTTCCATTTCCCAAGAGGACCCGATGAGATAAAAAGTTGCTTTGTCTATTTATTTTTCCACCAAAGTCAGTGGCTTCTCATCGGCTCCTTCCATCATCTGTTTCCCTTAACCTGTGCAAAGGGCCATTAGGGAGGGACGTGCAGGTGGGTGGTTTTGGTGTACTAGTGACCCGTGTCACATCTCTGCTTGTCATCTTTAATCCTGTCACTGTCTTCCTGTCTCTGGAGGAGGAAAAGGAAATGGGGTGAGCAGGAGTGGCTCAGCTCAGTGCTGTGACCGAGGATGATGATGATGAATGAGAGGAAGCAACTGAGAGACGCAGGGAGAACAGCTACCATGAGCTGGTTCTTGCTGTCTCGCTGATGACTGGTGCCAATGTCAGTCTCTGATGGGGCTATTAAATTTAGGAGTGATACAGAGATGGAAGATTTTTTGCATTTGATCAGGAAATGAAAGACTTGGAGGATTTTTCTAACTTCCTTTGAAGAGGGTCTTGGAAGAGGATCCTGCTGTTCTAACGTGGGCTTTGATTATCACAGTCTAGATGAGATTGTTTTAAACTTCTCTGAAAATTGAAAAGAGGGCAGAGTTCAGCAGCCCCTCTAGTGACACATCTGACCAGATGTTCTCAAGCTTTACACTGGCAAATAGTTATTTTCTGCCTGGAGGTAAGCACTGACTTATCTGTGTAACCTGAGGTGGCAGAAGAGAAGCTGCTGCTGAGGGCCTGAGCTGGAGATAACATTCAGGATGGTCTGGCCGAAGATCCTGCCAAATTTAGAAATCATTCCCCATCCAGCACAGGGGTGTCTGATTAAATTGCCCTGTGAGGCAGGTTGGAAAACCTCTCTCTTTGTTCAAACTTCTGTTAGGATTGCAGGACAGGGTGGCTTTGCCAGGGTCTGAAAGGGTGCATTTAGCTTCCTTACAGCTAGATGTAGAAAAACTTCAGAGTAACTGCTGGAGGTCTGTAAAAACCTTCTTAATTTTTCCTTTTCAGTTAAATAAAGGCTACTGATAACTTATTCTTTAAGTTGGTTCTGACAGTGCCACCATGTGTTCATGCATGATTCAGTTGTGGATTCTGAAACTGACTCTTTCATCATTTGTTTGAAACAGAAATGCTGGCTTGGGTGTGTGTTCCATGTCTTGCAGATTTGGGGGCATCTTGGCTCCATTTGTGCCATCTATGGTAAGATTATCTTACACTATTTATGTTACTCAGAGTTATTAAATTTTCTCAAAAGCATTTTGCTGGACTTGATACCACATATCCCTATATTCCTTGAAAAAATGTTATTAAAAACTAAATATTGTTCACTCAATTTCAAAATTTAATGAACAAGATGTTTAAAAATACCTAGCGTTTTATTCGTTTTATTCCTTTTGGAAATAATCTAAAGTTCTGTGTTGTGTTAATAATTTATCTGTTAGTGAAATGATTGTCATATAATGCATTCAGTGCTGCTAAGGCTCACTCAGTATCTTTAAAGCCCATAAACAAAGTTTTCTTATGAAGCTGTTTCTGTGAAATGACACTTAGTGGGTTTCTTGGTTCTACCAGCATATAGATAATTGCACAAATTGCTGGTTTTGACTGCAGTTCATGTGGATCATATATTTTAAGATCAGGAAGCAATGTTTGGTGTTTACTGTGGATTTTTAACTTTAGAAATCTCTTAGTCCTTCTGTACCGTTTGTGGTGTTTGGAATCAGTGGACTGTCAGCGGGATTCCTGACTCTCCTTCTGCCGGAAACACTAAATAAGCCAATTGCTGAGAGCATCGAAGATCTCCAGAGTCCCAAATACCAAGTGCTCACAGACACGGAGGCAGAGTACTTTTTTTTTTTACTGTAGCTTTGCATTACTTTCCCCTCTATCTTATGCAAGCCGTGATTTAGTGCTTATTGCTTAGATTGTGCATGGATGAATGGGTGCATGAAGTTTTTAAAGCCATTTTTCTGCCACATTCAATGGAGACTTCTGTTCCCATAAAGGAAAGGAAGTCTAAAATGACCAGGGACAACACATTCAGCAACACTCCTAAGCTTTTGCATTAAAACAACAAGGTGTGTTTTTCCTAGATTGGATTGTGCCTTTTTGTTATGTTTTACGGTGGAACATAATCTAAAATTAATGTGTATCTGTGAAAGTGTTTTATCCTTTATTAGTCTCCTGGGCTAGAGCCATTTAAAGTGGGTTCCTCTTGTTGATATGTACTAAATAAAACTTTAGATGTGGGAAATGAAAGTTTTGTTAGTTAAAACAGGTAATGGAATAGAAAATGTGAAGTTTGTCACCTAAGTTTAGGAGTAGCTTCCTGGAAGAATTAGCTTTAAAAGGGTGGGGGGGAAATTCCTCTTACAAAGGAATTAGTACTTTGGAACTAAGCAGACTTAGTGTATATATAAAAGAATATATGTTTTTCTTGTGGTTTTTTTGATATGCTATCTTGTTAATTATCTCGTAATTATTTTACTTAAGTTTAATCATGCTAGACATTCTATTATGCTTTTTTAAATGCCTAATACATAATAATACTGCTTTCAGCCAAAATGAGGAAAAGTATAATTTTTAATATTTTTAATATAATTTCACTTCTAATTTTTTTAAATGAATGAATTCTGCTTTTCACATTTAATATTAGTCCATAAAATAGGCCAAGAGGAATAACATCTGTAAAATGTTTTTCAATAATTATTTTTCTTCTATCTGACAGGGAAGCCAGTTAGAAGAAAACACTTAACTTCCAGAAGGCCAGTCTGTCATGGAAAATGAAGCTTCCATGGAGACGGTGCTATAAAAGTTGAAGGGCAGAGTCTTGCTCTATGTATCTGACAAGAAATGTTGGAGGACTCATGTATAATGCTGTTTGTAGCATGTTGAACAGTTTGATGTGGAGGCAAATTGAGAAGATGGAAGATGTTGATCAAAGCTTGTGAGAAAAGAGGTGACAAATCTGTGCATTTATTTAATGACTTAACAAAAGCGTACTTGGGATCTTTGGACTTCTCAACGGCTTCTTAAAATGGAGTATTAATTTATTGTTACAAAACGTAACTGCTAGCTTCAGATTAAGCTATAATGTTACAATTGAAGTGATGTGTATAATTTAAAATTCAGATGGCCTTATATACATTCCTGCAAGCTGTAATCATGAAAAGTAACAGCATCCTGTTTATGCTAATTTTCTCTACAGGGTTTTTTGCCTCTAATATACAGTATATATACCTCATGATGCGAAGAGACCAAAGATTTTTATGGGTTGTTGGCCTTAGTATGTCTAGCATTAGAAACCTGAACAGGAGATCTGAAAGGGGAGTGGAAAATAGATTTTATTGTGGAAGTAATTTTTAAATACAGTTGTACGTGAAAAGATACATAAAGTTAAAAATTATGTCAGATCTTTAAGAGGTGCATTTGAAGAGGATGAGTAAGCTTTTAGACAAAGGTTATTAAGTTTTAGCTGTACATGTGAAATTAGAAACTGAGTTATATATTGTATAATATATGTAATAGTATGTAATCCAGTACATTTCACGTATGAATTGGGAATTCTTCCTGCAAGGGGGGAGGGATGTTTTGTTAACAGTTAATATATTAACTTTGGAATAAATGCATCACAAATGTTACAGTTTTTTGATGGCCAACACAACTTTGTTATTAAAAAGAAAATTATTGAACGTTTGAATTATGGGTGTTGCTTTTTCCAGGATGCTTACCCAGGCTTTTTGAAGAAACATTTAGAATTTGGCTCTTCAATGGATCTGATAGGAAAGGTCAGTGAAAGGCCTCTGTATTTTGAGCCATTTCCATAGTTAAATAGTAGTTCTGCAAATGAACGTGCACCCGTGCAAGTATGTGTGCACTTACACACGCAGGATGCTCTGCCTGACGCCTCACAGGACTCTGTGCAGTGTGCAGGTGTGTCAGGCCACGTGTGCTTGACATATAGCCCTATCAGGTCCCCAAAGAGGTGAAAATCAATTGGCAATAAGGAGGACATTTATATCATATTGATGTGAAGGTGGATTGCACGTGTGTTTGCTTAACCTCTGGAGCTGAAGCTTGATGACAAGCAGCCTATATGCTGCAATATGTATACATATAATACGCTGCAAACTTTTATCTCCTGATCATTTATTTATTCATCGTTTTCGTAATGTTTTGCTTCTGTGAGGATTAGAATTGAGTTTGTGAACTTTTTTTTTCCTGAGTAACATTAATGTCTTCCATGGCATTAACATTTATAACCACAGTGACTGATTATACCTCTTCAAAGGATAATTGGGTCAGCAGGGATATGGTAAAGACCAAGTTTTGTTACTGTTTACTTCAAATTTCTTTTATTACAAGAAATAAAATTTAATAAGAACTGGAATGATATAAAGTTGTATTCCCAAAGCAGAGACAAGACTCTGGAGCAGGAGGATCGTAAAGGTACCATTATGTGGTGGGAGTGTATTTCTCTCTCCTGCCACATGTCTCAGGCTGCAGCAGAGCATTTTTCCTCTGCCACGTTATGTGAAAAACAGAAAACAGAAATAATTTACGTTTTGAACGTGCTTATTTCTGCTTTATTTGACTTGGAATTAATGATTTCTTTGCCTGGGGTGACTTCTGTGAATTTGGTGGATTGATGACCAGAAAGCTATCTGTTCCAAAAAAAAGTTAATGATCTTTTCAGCAGCCCTGGTGTGACTCATGGTACCTGCAGCTCTTTTTATCAGCGCAGGCCAGTGGGGAAGCTGGTTTGGTACTACATCTCCAAGATCCAAAAGAGAACATGGGCAGAAACATTGGCTTCCATTTTTGCTTCTTATTTTTTCAGTTCAATTTAACATCTTGTTTGACTTTTTACTTTAGATATCCTTGCTGCATTTTGCTGTTGCTGAATAAATAGATGCTTTTTTGGAAAGAAGTGCTTTTCCAGTTACATGTTGAGAAATAAGGAAATTATTTGCAGCTTTATTAGAAATAATTTGTAGGGATAATGTAATCAGCACATGACATCTTACAAGGTCCAAAAGTTAAGAAACCAACTGTGTCATTCATTACTTTATATGTCATGGCAAATCAGAAAAGGCAGCTTTTTTGGTCAAATAGCTGCTTTTTTTTTTTAATAGATACCTTCCCTTAAAGCTTTTGACTTCGTAGAATTAGGAATTCTTCACTTTGAGCAACTCTTTTCCTCCATTATTTTTAATGAAGACAAAGCAGTTTTGGGGAGGAATGCCCTAATAAATTCTTTACTCAGTGTGGGACTATTATCTATTGCTTTCCATTTCTCTGTAAAAAAGAACAAAGGGAGCCGAGTTAATTTAAGTGGCTTAATTATACACATTAGGTCACAATCTCCTCATCCTTAAGTATCACTTCCAGCTCTTCCCTTGTGCTTTATATGCGTGTAGAAATTTGATTATAATGTTGCATCTGCACTGTTCATCTGTTTCTGTGTTAGAACAGTGTCTTCAGTGCTTTAGTGCTTAGTTGTGAAATTGCCTTTATTTCTTGATCTGTTTTTAAACTGTTTTGAAATCTTTTGAATAGAATGGTTTGGGTTGAAAGGGTTCTTAAAGATCATTGAGTTCCAACCCCCCTGCCATGGGCAGGGTCACCTTCTACTAGACCAGGTTGCTCAAAGCCCCATCCAGCCTGGCCTTGAACCCCTCCAGGGATGGGGCAGCCACAGCTTCTCTGGGCAACCTGTTCCAGTGTCTCACCACCCTCACAGCAAAGAATTTCTTCCTGAGATCTAATCTCAATCTGTCCTCTTTCTGTTTAAAACCATTACCCCTTGTCCTATCGCGAGGATGAGTCCCTCCCCATCTTTCCTGTGGGCCCCTTTAGGTACTGGAAGGGGCTCCCCTGGAGCCTTCTCATCTCCAGGCTGAACAACCCCAGCTCTCTCAGCCTGTCTTCATAGGAGAGGTGCTCCAGCCCTCTGATCATCTTCGTGGCCTCCTCTGGACCCACTCCAACAGGTCCTTGTCCTTATGTTGGGGGCTCCAGAGCTGGACACAGTACTCCAGGTGGGGCCTCACCAGAGCAGAGGGGCAGAATCACCTCATTCAACGTGCTGGCCACACTTCTTTTGATGCAGCCCAGGATGCAGTTGGCTTTCTGGGCTGCCAGTGAACATTTCCAGGTCACATTGAGTCTCAGCAACACAGCCAAGTCCTCTGCTCAGGGCTGTTCTCCATCCATTCTCTGCCCAGTCTGTGTTTGGGCTTGTGATTGCTGGGACGCAGGTGCAGGACCTTGCACTTGGCCATGCCGAACTTCTCAAGGTTCACATGGGCCCACCTCTCAAGCCTGTCCAGGTCTCTCTGGATGGCATCCCTGTCCTCCAGCGTGCTGACCACACCACACAGCTTGGTGTCATTGGCAAACTTGCTGAGAGTGCCCTCAATCCCAACATCCCTGCTACTGACAGGATTTACACAACACTGCTCCCAGTACAGACCCCTGAGCAAGGCCACTCTTCACTGGTCTCCAGTTGGACATCAAGCTGTTGACTGCAAGTCTTTCGCTGTGACCATCTAGCCAATTCCTTATCTACAGAGTGGTCCGTCTGTCAAAATGCAAATTACTTCAGCATTTGAGAAAATTCTGCTGCTGTCCTTAAATACATCTGTGATACTGATGGGTTGTCCAGAAAGGAAGTCTGAGCCGATTTCATTTTCTTCACTCCTTTATCTGTGTTTAATCTTACTGTGTTTTTCCCTAAGGAGTGGTGTTTTTTTTTTCCTGCGTTAGGTGCCAGGAGTGCTGAACAGAGGTGAAGCCTGAGCATTCATTTTGTCACCAGCCAGTGACGGCACGCCCCCACACCATGTTAAAATCAGGTCAGGTATAAAGGCAGGGCTTGAATTCTTTTTTCTGAAAAGTAAACTTTGCCCAATATTCATGTCAAGCTCATCTTCGTGATCTTTTCCATTATCCCATTTGATGTTTCATCAAAGCTGTTTCCTCCTTTGTTGGAGCACTGCATGTTATTGTTTGAAGTGAAGGCTATGGATTCATTTTTAGAATTTATCCTTTTTAATCTGAGCAGAGTGAAGTACAAATAATCCTTTGCTTTGTTGACTAATACTCTTGCAGCTAAGCAGCAGAGAAAGGAGGGAGGTGAACTTTTCACACTACCATCTGTAACCAGCTGGTTCTGCCATTCAATTTTTAGCTTGCTTGAGGCAAATAACTGTATTGTGTATTACAGCATGCAAGAGATATAATTTTTTCCATGCAGTGAGTTATCAGCAGTTCATTTGAAAGGTCATCTTTTGTTGCATTACTTGCTATCAGAGATGTGAAATGTACCAGACAGGATTTTTGATAGATGGGTCCTTCCGTTAAAGTTAAATTTGTGAAAATAGTGGACAGATGTACTGCTACAGGCAAACTATATGTAAATTTGGGATGATCTTTTCTTACAGTAGCAGAATTTCTTTTCACCAAGACTTCCCAATCTATAAAGAAATGTGTGGGCTATAATGTGCAGTGGGAGGACTGTGCACACCTGAGGAGGGTGGTAGACCATAGCAGCTGGAGGTTTTTGTGAGGGGAAGGGGAATGTGACTGAGAATTTGGGAATCAAATCGTGTTCCTAAGTCTTGCACACTTGTGGTGTGGTCCTGAATTACACCAGGCTCCTTTTAACTTGATATTAAATAGTTGCTTTCTATATTAGATGAACTTCTCTTCCTCTAGGTAGACTCCTGGTTTAGAAAACAAGCTGCTATTGGTATAAATAAATCAGAAAACAAATATGTTGCAGCGATTTTGATAGCTTATGAAAGGGCAGTGTGGCTCTAACTGGACGGGTTTGACAGTGGTCCAAAGAGGTTTGAAGCTGTACAGGCTGATGGCTTTTCTTGGCTTTTCACCTAAGAAAGGGGGGTGTGAAATAATGTTTCAGTGATCTCTTCCCATGTAATAGCAACCTGGTCATGCTCATGACAGGTAAGGCTGAAGAGACTGGCTCAATCGAAGTAACTTTTGCAACAGCTTCAGTCACTTCGGCTTGAAAATCTCTATCCTGGGCTTTTGTCTGCCAGGTAGCAGTATTGCCAGCATTCAGTTGGCTGTATTTAAGTGTCCCTGTCATGAAAGGCTCCAGGGAAAACTGGTGATTACACGGGGTTTTTTTAAACTCTTTTCCAAAGAGATTCTGCATGTGCAACACCTCACTTACTGTTTGTCACAGCCTCACTCACATCAGTTTGGGTGGGTTTTTTTATTATAGTCAGGTCGATGGTTGGATTAGATTATTTTAAAGGTGCCTTCCAACCTAGACAATTCTATGATTCTATGATTTTCTATCTTGCTCTGCACTTTTTCCCCTCCTATCCCATCCACAGTGGTGCAGGGCCTCACTGAGTTCTCATCTCCCTGTACTGATGTGTGATCACTGGAAAGACTGCAGTATATTGCTGGTACACGGAGGGAAACTAGAGTCTGTGACACAAAGTGAAGTTACTCCAGATGTGACCAGGTTGAGAGAAATTACCACTTCTTTTCACCATCCCCTATCTTGTGGTCGGTCAGGTTTGTAAATGTTGGTAAATTCAGTGATGGCTGCAAACATCACTGTGGGAAGCCCAGATCCTTCCACCAGGTTTCTGCCACAGCTTCAGAGGCATTTCATCTGTTTCAAATCATTATTAAGTCCTTGTGATAGTG